TAAAATAGAGAAAGTATAGTTTAATATCAGTTAATCACGAGGTGTTCACTAAACAAATTATATATACAGCAATAAGGAAAAACCCAAGAACCTCAAGTTACAGCAAGGACTATAAGACAGATGCATTAATTTTAAAGTATGGAACAGATTTTTGTGGGCTTAAGAATTAGACCTGAGATGAGTTCTTGGCCCTTTGTAGTTACGTGACCTTGAGCAGTTTCTTCATTTCCACCACTCCCTGCTCCTCCAAGTCGCCATCATCTAATTCCTGTCTTCCTGCAACAGCCTCTTAATCAGTGTCCTTGTTTCTGGTCTCTGAACAGCAGCCTTAGTGATCTTTTAAGAACATAAATGAAATCTTTCACTCTCTAAAGCCTATATTGTCTTCCCATTACATCTAGAGTAAAATCCAGACCCTACCCTCTGGCCTAAATACCCTGCGAGATCTAGTCCCTGGCTATGTCCCTGATTTTTCATCAGTTCTCTTTTGTCTGTCCCTAGTCTTCTTGGTCTCTCTCAGCTCAGCTCAGCTCAGCGCAGGTGCCTCTCCCTGGAAATCTTCCCTGATTGCCTAATGCAAAGTAGCTCTCCTGCCCTGTACTCTCTTCCACACCACTCTGCTTTTGTCTTCATAGCACTCACCCTCAGAAATCATCTTGCTTGTTTATTTGTTTTCTTGTTTATTGCATATCTATTCTCCCCCAGTAGCGTATATGATCCATGAGGCAAGTGACTGCACATTCGTTTTTGATTCACTTCTGGTTGTGTCCGATTGCCTAGAAGAATGTTTGACTTCCAGAGGTGCTCATTTAATATAGAATGAGGCAATAAGTTAACAAATGACTGAAAGACTCTATCTTGAAGTGATTTTTTTCACCTTCCATTACTTATCTGTCAACATTTAAAACAGTTTAGTATTTATCATAGCTTTAGATATAAAACTCTTTAGAACCATTTTAGATGACAGTTTTAGAACAATTTCAGATGCATTTATTATTTAGAACAGCTTTAGACATGTAAGATAGTACAAAGAGTTCCCATACACCCAGCATGTAATTTCTCCTATTATTAACATCCCACATTCATATGGTGCATTTGTCACAATACAGAACCCTATCGATATGTTATTATTAACTAAAACCCTTATGTCACTCAAACTTTCCTATTTTTTCTGTTCCATGACTCCATAGGACACCACATTGTATTTCATTGCCATGTCTCCTTTGACTCTTCTTGGCTGTGACAGTTCCTCAGACTTTCCTTGTTTTTGACGACCTTGATGGTTTTGAGGAGTGCTGGCCAGGCATTTTGTAGAATGTTCTTCCACTGGAATTTTTCTGATGTTTTTCTCATGATTAGATTGGGGTTATATATTTTTTATGAGAAAGACCACAGAATTTAAGTGCATTCTCATCATATCACGTCAGGGGTACATACTATCAATACAATTTATCACTGTGAATGTTGAATCTGATCATCTGGCTGAAGCAGTGAATGTTAGCTTTCTCCACTGTAGAGTCAGTCTCTCCCTTTTCCATGCTCTTGGACAGATGTCACTATGAGCAGCCCATCTGAAGTAAAATTAAGTTAGAGTCCTACATCTCCACATATTCAACAATAAATTACAAATAGATAAAAAATATAAATGTAAGCATTTATTGTAAGAAAATTGAGCTGTCTGTTTGTATATTATTTGGGTTAGGAAGATCATCTAAGTGAGAAACTCCAGAAATAATAGAATCATATATAAATATAAAATTTTAATGTATGGCCAAAGTTAGCATAACAATGAAAAAAGAAATATTATACTGAGATAAAAGTACCTGCAACAAATATTTATAAATTTTTAATAAATTGAGTATTTAGCCTGTGCCAGGTAGTCTTCAAAGTACAATACATCTATTATTTCATTTAATTTTCAAGACCCATGAAATATGTACATTTACTTTTCCATTTTACAGACAAGGAAATTAAGGCACGGTTTGCTTAAGTAAACTGTGTAAGGCTACAGATCTAGTAAGGGACAGAGTAAAAGTCAAACCCCAGGCAGTCTGGCTCCCAGGCCTATGTACTTAACTACCATACAATGTTGCCTCAAGTTGATAGAAAAAAGACAAAAAGCCTAACAAGAAAAAAAAAAAAGAGCAAAATATGGAAGTGTGCTTGCCACAGAACAGAAAATATAAGAATGAATGTAAGTCCATTCCTATGGGAGAAAATGCTCAGGAATGCTAGTAATTAGGGAAATACAAACTTTAAACCACAAGGAAATACCATTTTCATCCAATTGGCAATAATTAAGACAATTGATATCATCCTGTCAAATGGAGAAAAATGGAAATTTTTATGCTTTACTAGTATGGATATGAATGAATAGAATATTTTTTGGAAAGTATTTTTTAAAAAGTCTATTATAATTAAAAGTACACATACTCTTGGATCTGGCCATTAATATTTAAAACTTCTTTCTTGTGAAATGTTAACATACATACAGAAGAGCATATAAACATAAACATAAAGCTTAAAAATTATTCTAAAGCAAACACTTGTGTACTTACCAGGTAAAGTAAATCCTTTTTAAAAGCCTTTTTTGTAACTCCTTTCAATAAAATATCCTTTTCCTGCTTTCTCCACTCTCCTAACTTTCCTTTGGTTTTCTTTACAGTGTTATGCTTTATATAATTGAATAAATACTATAGTGTATCTTCTGTGTCTGGATTAACAGTATGTTTGTGAGACCATCCATATTGTGCGTATAGATGCAGTTTGTTTATTTTCATTTCCTTAACATTAACGATGCATCCTCTTAGACAAAACTAGACAGACTCATCTGATTGCAGCAGGCCCCACTCACCCTGGACTTGCCCCTTAGCAGGACACAGCACAGCATGCCGGCAGGGTGGCGGTGGTTCGCCTCTGAGAACGGTCTCGTAGCAGCCCACACAACAGACCAGAACTAGTCTTCTTGACTAGTCCCAGTGATTGCTCCTGTGAGGGGAGAAGACTCAGAGACCTGGGTACAAAGGAAACACAGGCTTAGATTCTCCCTCTTCCAAAGTTGACAGTATAAATTTTTTAAAAACAGATTTATGGATTCCAGCGAAGGACATGCATTCTGGGAAACCCAAAGGCTCTCCTCCTTTGGTATTTATAGTCCATTCACAGCCCTCCTTGTCCAGATGTAGTATGCCAATCAGGTCATTTTTACCACAGGCAGTGGTTCCAAACAACACAGCCCACACCCACTTTTACTAGGTTTTATGGGAATGAAATGAGAAAACTAAGCCAAGGTCAAATTTGTCCATAAAAAAGGAGAGAATGTTTTTATTCAGACTTTATTCCCAGACATACCACACTTTTTGCCCCATGAGCTAGAGAATGAGTTTGATTCTAGATTTTGGCTCTTACGAAAGTGTGGCTCTGAGCTTTCTGCACCCGCCCCTCGCTCGCTGCTGTACAGGCGCACACTTCTGTTGGGCATGAATCAGGCAGTGGGGCTGCTAAGTCCACGGGCACGTCCCTTCACTGCGGCCGGCAACGCTCAGCTGCTCGCCCGGGCGGGTGGGCCTGCCGACACCGCCACGAGCCGCTTGTGAGGGCTCCTGTTACTCCACGCCTTGCCTCCCTGGCACTGCCACGTTGGCACATTTTCGTTTTTGTTTGTTTTTGGTATTCCCTTTTTATAAATGTTAGTCATTCTGCTAGATGTGTTGTTTTAATTTGGATTTCCCTATTTATGATGTTAATAATTGTTTCCCATATTTATAGGCCGCTTGGATTTTTTTCTTTTGTGAATTGCCTGTTTAAGTCTCTCTCCATGTTCCTATTGTTTGGGAGTTCTTCATATATTCTGGATATGAGCCTTTGTCAGTGAGATGTGTTGAAAATATGTTCTATCACTTGAAGTTTTAGTCTTTTCATTCTATTATGATGTTTTGTTTAAATATATTTATGAGCAGAGTTGGTAATCAAAATATGTAACTATTCATATAGTGTGGTGATTGATAAATCAGAATAGTACACACCTGTTGAATATCATGCCCTTTTTAAAAAACCATAGCATCAAGTTAGCATGGCAAAAATTATACAGGAAGTAACAGGAAATGTCAACCAATAAAAGAATTGTTGGATTTGTTGTGTACATCCATAGTACCACATATTAGGATCAGCTAAATTTGAGGGATGTCTGATAAATTTAATGAGGAAAGCATGCTGCAGTGTTATATACATGATTTGTGTTTTTTTGTGGTTTTTTTTTTTGTGAAACATTCTTATAAGGTACTTTTTAAGAAAATAGTTAACCACTGGACGTTGATTAATTAAAATTTGGAAGTGATAGCTGTAATTATTGATTTTTATTTTGTTTTGTTTAGGCCACCATTTTCAATCACAACAGAATTCATCTTGAGATTCAACCAAACCAAAAATCCAAAAGAGAAGGAAGAATTGTTGGATCTAGCTAGAAAAGCCATTCTCAAATGTAGGGTAATGCTACACTATTTGATTTGCTTGGTATATGAACTTTTCCTTCTAGTTGGTGGATGATTTTGTTCCAAAATAGTGAAAACAAAAAAAAGAATATGCCTTTATTTAATTATAAGTAGGCATAGTTAAAAATACTACTGCAAATTAAAGTTAAAGTTTATAACCAAATAATTCAATATCTAATGACTTTTGGGGTGAAGATTCCCCACAAATTATTAGGGAATATAGCTGCTGATACTAGTCAAAGAGCCCACAGCAAAATATCAAAGGCTGATAAATAAACTTTTGATGATGAAAATACCACCCTTTCTTTCTTTCTTTCTTTCTTTCTTTCTTTCTTTCTTTCTTTCTTTCTTTCTTTCTTTCTTTCTTTCTTTCTTTCTTCTTTCTTTCTTTTTATTTTTTTAAAAAGGTAACAGATATAATGTGTCCTATAAAAGAATGAAAGCCTTACTTAATCTTCACTATCAGTACACAGAGGGTTGTCATGTTTGTTAACTTCTGCCCATTACAGTGAAGTAGCCAGTTTTCCAGCAATTTGATATCAAACTAATTTCTGTTGAATCACATTTCATCAATATACTTTTCCTTCTAAAATCAGAGATATATCCCCTTGGCAGGGAAATGAGATAAAAATAGAAGAAGTCCTTAGAAAATAAAGAGTGAGAATTATTTTCAACAAATAACCAATGGTATTACTCAGAATATTATCAAACATTCTGTACATTTCAACACTAACACAGTTTACATAAAGGGTCAACAAATGAAAATAATAGAAGTAAAAATAAAAAATATAAAATTTTATACAACTCTAGCCACAGAGCATCAGCCTCATAGAAGGACTTTGAAAATATAATTAAGGGTTAGTCTAAATAAATAAATAAATAAATTTTACATTTTTGTTTGCCTCTCTCATGTTTTTCCATCACAGAGAAAATTGGGTCTCAGAACCTTAGGCACTGGGAAACATGTGCATCTTCCTACTGCATGGACTGAAATAATATATCTGGCTCAATGCAAAGGAGAAATCCAAGATGGTATGCACTCTAACTAAACTCTTCCTAGTTACCTTATGTGTTTTCTAGATTAGCAGTGAAAGCATAATTTGAGAACTTTAATATTAGAAATTGTGCAGGACCCAAGAAAAATTTGCCTTTCTCTATCGAAATACCTGATAATGTTTCATTATGAAAGTTCCTTTTGTAATTTTGAATTAATGAATTTGCTCAACTTTTTAATTACAAAATTGTTTTAAACTCTTTTGCTCAGCATAGTCTTTATTGCTTTTTTCTAAAATTAGTAACTAATTAAAAAGTAATATAAAGTGTCATTTAGTGATTTTCAATTACAATAGAGACTATACTTTAGAGAAACTTGACTGCATTTTATAATTCTTACGCATAAAACATTAACCAAATGGCCGTTAGTGTTTCACTTATTTTAACAGCCCTTTTACTCATTACCTTTTCATTTATCACTTCTCACTTGCATGTCTCCTTTCAAACTACTCTCCAACTAATCTAAAAAAGAAATTAAAAACCATTATTTTTAAAGAGGTAAAATTGCTTCTATCATTATCCTAAATTATATGTGTATGCCTTTTAAAATGAGTTTTTAGAATGTTAAGTGTGTGAGGTCAGAGAGTTTTTCCCCATGTAAATTGGGTTCTGCAGTGCTGTCTGGGAGCTGCCAAGCGACAGGAAACATAAGAATGATTTTGTATTTAACTCACCTGTAGGGCTCATTGTCACAGAGCCATCCACAGCCTGACCTCTCTAAAAAGTTTAAATGACTTATTTCACTTAGCATAATATTCTCCAGGTCCATCCATACTGTCCCAAAGGGAACGAGCTCCTTCTTCTTTACAGCTGCGTAGTATTCCATGATGTAAATGTGCCACAGCTTTTTGATCCACTCCTCTACTGATGGAGAATACTATGCTAAGTGAAATAAGCCAGGCAGAGAAAGACAAACATCACATGATCTTGCTTATATGTGGAATCTAAAGAACTTAATAAACTGATGAACAGAATAGATTCAATGACATGGAAGCATAGATGAGACTGACGAATGTCAGAGGGAGGGAGGAGGGCGGGTGGGTGGAGGGGGAGAGAGTAACTA